TTGGTTTTCTTCTCTCCTATCAAACTGCTGCCTTCCAGGCAAGTTGGAGACTTCTCCCCTTCACACCTGACTTGCAATGGCCAATGTTCTCAAAAGATATAGGATGATGTGATGCCCTAGGTGTCATATTCTTCAGGGAAGAAAAACAAAGAGAAGATACTGATAGTCTGACTAAGGAGTGGGGCAGGGCAAGTGTAAATCTCACCATTTATTTTGCATTGCCTACCTAGCAAAACTCTTACTCTTACTTCCACACTTTCATCTCAGCCTATGAAAGGATGCACAATAACATTGTGTGTGCTTCACTATGATTCATGTGAAACTTGAGTATTTTCCAATTTCCATAACAGGAATATGGAAAAAAATAGTTCTGCTGAATTTCTGCTCGCACTCCCTGTTTATTAAAAGTCCCTGCTTTGTGGCACACTCAGCAATTTAGTGAGAAAACACTGGGGTTAACTTCAAAAACCTGTTTGAGAAATGTGAGGTAACCCTGGTGGTTCCCAGAACCAGTGGGAGGGAGGAACAAAGTGGAAACGCAGAGGAAAACAACAGGCAACAGGCACATGAATTATGCAGATACACAACTGCAAGTACATAACTGAAGGAAAGGATAAGATTGTCCAGAGACTTGAGGATAAAACTGTTCCTGTATGATATATCTCACCTCCTTAGCATTCATAGGGCCACAACCCGACTATCTGCAGTCTTATCAGAAAAAAAACCAAACCCACTGCACTCTGCAGCTGAGTTTCTGTGAATGTACCTTTGCTCTAGTACATAAGAACAAGTAACCAGCATCCTCTTGAATTCCTCTGCTTGAGGAGGAGAACAGCAACAAGTCAGTCAAGACCTCATTGGGCCATAGACTGTTTTTTTCTCCTCTGAATGAATGAATTACAAAGCCAGCTGATGAATTCTTGTTGTCTTTCGAGTGTTTTGCATAAAACAAATGGTTCAGGGCCTTTTCAAAGAACTACTAACAATTTATCTTAAAAAAGGGGGGGGAAAAAAGTCAGCTTGAGAATTGGCTTTCATCTTCTGCCCCTAAAGTTTAGGCAGTGCTGCAGTGACACATATGCTGATTTGTCAGCCCAAGGAATTTGTCTCCGCAACCAGGCTTTAGCTAGGAAAATATGTAGAAAATAGTCCTGACAGCTGTGTGAGGGTTTTATGGAGACGCTAGTCCTGAATTATTTTCAGGACTGATCCCCTACTCTCTCACAGGACTTAATTAACAAAGCATCGTTAGTTAACGTTGGTGGAAGAGGAAGGTATTCAATCAATGCAAAGCATTACCTTTTCTAGTGATACCATTACAGTGAGGTATTTTGTTATCTCCTTTTTATTTTGTTTTGATTATCTTCAATCAAGATCTAGCTGAAAACATACAATGTTCATTAACGCAATATCTAGGGTGGCTGCTGACATCTGCTTTTCTCAAAAGCTAGTGATAAGGTAATGACACTTAATGAAATAAAATTTTATAGAGTCAATGGTCTTGCTGGAAAAGCTTGTGGACAGGAAAGAGGAAGAGATTATTTCTGCTCCTTTTTGCTTTGAAGAATTTGAAGCATAAAAGTGCATTATAAAGGCCTATGAACTGACTTGATTGGTGGAAAAGTTAGGGGAAATGTTAAAAAATCCCATGTATTCTGCTTAAGCCAACTGTCAGTCGCTTCGGGGAACTCTGTCTTCATTTTGACTCTGCATGAGGAGCCATCAGCACACAACCTTTGTTGTATGAGAAAAGGTTAAGAGAAAGACCACTGGCGGCAGAGGAGACTGGCTGAGGAAATGGACTTCCACCTCAATGAGGTTACCACAGGAGGAGCAAACAACCTTGGTGGCACTGGATTTGACAGGATCATCAGCAAGGCACAAAATTTGCCCCAAGTCCAGGTTAAAAGGGCATGTTACAGCCAGAACTAAAACATGCAGAGATCCATGCTAGCCATTCTCCTATCATTTAAAAACATGTTTTGTATCAATTCCAGTTTGCAAAGCTAATATGAAAAGCCAGACAGTTATCTGAGTCAGAATTTTCTAAATTGATTTAATGTTTCCAGTCCCCTGCAGACTGGAACAAAACAAGGCAACCAAAGACTTGAATACTGGGCAATCAGCAATGTTTTACATGTAGTTTTTAACTGTAGCCAAATACAGAAAGAAGTATGGGCCAGTCCCAGCTGGATTTTGCCACTTCTGCTTGGCTTCTCTTTCAGTGAGAAGTAAAGAAGAGGAGGAGAAAACAAATTTCTCTATGGTATTGGGAATCTTACAAGCCAGCTCAACCAAGTCTAATCCAGTATTTGATTAGAGAATTCTGTAGTTTTAGTTTTAACTTCTGCTTCAAGGGGAGAAATTTTTAATACTATTATGAAGGACCATTTTAATTTAAATCATAGTATACTAAATGCAGAACATCACTAAAGTATATTTTTCCATTAATAATTTACCATTCTTTCTAGGCATTTTGATTTAAAATCTGTGAATGGTTTAGGACAGTACAAATTCAGTCCATCAAAGAACAGATGAAACAATGTGTGTGAACTTATATTTGAGTTATGGATATATTATTCCATGAACCAATTCCTGGTAACACAAAAAACCCCCACACTACAAAGCCAATTCCAAAAATACTCTTCTTCTAGGAAAAATGAATAATTATAAAAAATATTTTAATATTTACATTGATATTTGCCACTGTACATATAGTCAAAATAGTCACAAAATAAGGTCTTATAGGTAAACTCTAGACTTCTAGTGTGTTGATTCTTTTGTATGTTTCTTCCTTTCTTCCTCCTTTTCTTTCTTTCTCTCTGTCTTCGTCATAGTATTTGGAGATTAACATTTTGCGGACAGACTGTGAATGTACCTAGTTCCAGATCCAAGTGTCAGGACTGAGGGCCTCTGAAAATTTGCATTGAAACATGCAGCAAAGGAAAGCCTCTGTCAGCAGACATGGTAGCTAGAGCAGACTGTGTTCACCCTGGCAAACTAATTCTCCTAGTGCATTCTCCTGACACATCTGCCAGCAGCTCCTGTGCCACCCCCCACACCAGAGGGGCTTCCCTAGCTTTTGCCAATTAAAGAGCACTGACGGGAGTCCAAACTTTTTCCCTTAAACATAGCCTCTGTTTTGAACAGTTTTAAACAGTTGAACACAAAATCTTTTAAAAAAAGTCAGCTGGGGGAGGGGAAGCAGCCAGTGCTATGTTTGAATTGCAGTGTGTGCTCAACTGTCTGCCCTTTATGCTAATGGAAGGGTTTGGAACCACTATCAGGAGGCAAGAGAGCAGAAGGCAATCCAGGTATACAGCATCCGGACAGCCTCTGAACAAAGGGGTGTCATCAAACACCTTTCCAGCAATGGGCAAAGACCAAATTTTTGCATTAAATCATGGATATTGTAGGTAATGAGTTGGTTGCCAGCCAGTGTGTAAAACAGCTTACTTGGCTCATACCCAAGTCTTACTTTGAGTGATATAGCTCAGGGATGGAGGAATCTGCAAGTAAAGGTCTCTGAGATGGGAATAGTGAGGCTTGGCTTGAACAGGTCTGACTATTAGGCAGCTGAGCCACAGTCCAGCACAGCTGTATGGTACTGTAGGCACGACAGTGACCACCCCATGCCAGCGCACTTTTCTAGTAATGCATGACCACACCCCAAGCAATAGCCTGTTAAGAACAGAGGAAGACTCTGGTGACAAGACGAAAAGTGATCGTATGAATGTTGTGTCAGTCACTCACTGTGCTTTTCTACAAGCCCAAGGGCAAGGTCTAGTGAAATCCCTGTGGATGTTTCCCTATGGAGCAAGAGGAAATTGCAAAGGCTTATATATAGCTGTTCATAGACAAGTCAGAGAAGCAGAGTTCAGCTGTCAGTTCTGCAGCTGCTGCACTATGTATGGCCTTGTCATGGAACCATCAAATCACTGCTGAGATGTGAAACAGTTTGCTAAAATATCTTGTTTCATGCTGGCAACTAACTGAAACAGCTTCATCTTACACCCAGATGAATGTCCTCTTGCACACACTCACAGTGGCTCATGGAGAACCATCACAGAAGTCCTTTACCTTTGCTGTACTGTCCTGAAGCTTGGGATGTACATTTGGGATGCTTCACAGGTTGAGGGTGATCAAAGAAGGACAGATCAAAAGAAACTCTGCTCTCTTGATAGTGAGAAGATTCAAATCAAGCAGGTCCTTGGTGGCCAGAAAGACTTGGTGTAGTGTGTGCCTGCCACAGTGACTAAGCAGTTATTAAAATATTTGAAATTATTATGTAAATCTGACAGCAGTTGCCAGCATCCTGAGGGTCAATGGGCTGAGAATGCTTCTACTGAATCTCAGAGACTGGCAGATATGCTTTTCACTGATTTATACAATGTGTTCACATTCAGCAAACTAGGTAATCCTTCCATTTATCTTGATTAGCAGAAATAGGAAAAAAGGTGAATTATGATTTAACAAGGCTAATCTCAGTGTTGAAGAGCCTAGAGTTATCTCTCCATAGGTCATTCATTTGATTTCAGTGGCCACAACAGCACAGTACTGCTCCTTTTTCCTCAGCCCTGCTGTTTGTAAAGTAGGAATGACAGCAGTTGTGAGTCACCACTGCTCTTACCCCAAAAGCAGATGCACTCATTTTCCTCTTACCTGATTTTCAGGAAAACAAACTTAAGATCCATATTTGGTTGTTTCAATTGCCTCTCTCCTCTTCTGCAAGCACCTTTGTTTAACCTTCTCTCACATGATCTGTTAATGGAGCCCAGCCTGTAACTTCAAAGTTTAAAAATAATTCCTCACCTCACTCACAGTCTCTAACCTTATCATGGGAAATGCTTTCCAGCATGTCAGCTTGCCCTTTAGACACTACTGCTCCAAGAACAACAGGAGACGGACAGATCTGTCTTTCATGCTTTGCAACTGTTGACAATGGCTTGCAAAAGAACGAACATTTTACTCGAGCACTTAAAGATTTATAATTCTCTAACTTTATTACTGCTTCCATTTCAAAAAAGAAATGTTGGATCATTGTTTAAAACAAAATGTGATTTCATATATTAAATAGTATATGAAATCCTCCCGAAACCTTTGAAATCTGCTAAAATGCCTTCACTCTGATCTCTAGAGTACACATGGGCAGTAAAAAAATAGTCTTGGTCAGAGGAACTTTACAATACAGACAAGATTTGCAATTTCCAACTTGTTACAATAAAATTTTAAATTATGAGAGTCAGAAAATGGTAACTACTTTAGAGTAAAAATTATCTCTTAGTAAAAAATATCCTCCTTAGTATAAGGAGGATTTAAAGGACCAATGTCCTTTAAATTGTAGAGAAACATCAATACAACATGGAAATTGTTCTGTATTTGTGGGCTTCTACATCAGCAATTCAAGACGTAGAATTTAAATATTTCTCCGCATCCTCCCACTATTTCCCCTGGTTGACTTTCAAAATCATAAATCTCCCAAAACACAGAAATTACTACCTGCCAGAAATTAGGAGGAAACACTGAGTAATGAATGAGGAATCAATCAAACTGAAGTTTAAAATGTTAAGTATGTGAGTTACACCACGGTCAAAGCTTCAAAGCTGACTTCAAATATGACTCAGTATCTAACCTCTATAAAAAAAGCCAAAACACATTAAGGTAAAAAAAAAAAAAGAAAAAAAGAAACCAAAAGAACTCTTTTTTTCCCCACATACAAAAAATATTTTCATCAGAAAACCTCACAGGAAAGTAATACTGCTTTGCTTTTGAGAAATCCTAACCCTGAAGTAGAGGTGGTACTAGGACTCCCACCCGCTCTTTCCTGCAGGGCAAGAAATCCGTTGCATCATTCCTCGACTCCTGTGACCAGGTAAGACATTGAGATGCAAACGAAGTCGTCTTTGCCTTGTGGACCAGCAAAGAAGCTGGAATGCGGTTTCTTATCTAGCACTTGGGTGAGGAAATGGTTATTCTGGGAGATCACAAGACCTGAAAACAAAGAGGAGTTTCAGAAGGATTGTGTCACTGCTCCCCAGCCGTCTCCCAAGTTTTCAGAACTTTCACAGAACCCTATCTGTGTTCTCTGGAAGTAAATGCTGCTTCCTTTTCTAACCTAATAATGATGGAAGTAACTTCATTATGGGTGCTCCAGCTGAAGCACAGTTTAAGTCTGATATTGTATTCGGGAGAATCCAAAACAAAGATTCGTAAGTAGGTACTTATGAACAAACCTTGTTAATGCCAGAGGGAAACTCCAGAGCCATTTCAGATCTCTGGTGAGGAATGCCTAAATTGTGGAGGTAGGCTGGTTATTTTCATGGAACTGCAAGGAAGAAGAGAAACCACTCATAGTTTTTTGGTAGCCTTTTTATCAGACATGTTCAAATCAATTTAGGTGAAAAAATATCTGCAGTTCCTAAAACTTTTCTGAACGTGCTACTACAAATAAGTACTAAAGTGAGCAGCATTTCTTATGGAAATGAAAGTTGGACAGTGAAAGCTTGCTGTGAAATACACTAATTTGCATTTGAGGCTAGACAACACTTTAAGGTGCATCTTGAGAAACCATTCTGCTGTAGAAGTCCATTCTTAAGCTATAGTGTAGTAAGGTGAAATGACAGAAACCAAATTTAAGGCAGAGGACTTTAATCTGGTATAAACAAACATGTTCACAGTCATAGCTTTTTCACAGATCAATGGTTTCACAGAATATTCAGAGCTGGAAGGGACCCGCAAGGATCCTCAAGTCCGTCTTAAGTGAATGGCCCATACGGGGTTCCTGTGACCTTGGCATTATTAGCACCATGCTCTAACTAACTCAGCTAATCTCTTGTTATCTCTTAAGTAAGCCAGTTCAGTATTTTAATTCCATCAATAAAAATCCTGAATTTAGTCTTCACAGTAATACTAAGATCCATGTTTGACTAAATAAAATGTCCTTCCTTTGCTGTTTAGATAAAATGTCATACAAACAAACCCCTTGTTTTTACTTCAGTAAGGATCATGGCTCATGAGTTACCTTGAGATTGCTGGTCCGTGGCAGCTGCTTGTGCACACAGAATTGTCACAGTTGAGTGTAACATAGCTTATTCTGTTTACATTGCTCAGACGTTTTTCATATATTGCCAGCCTCCTGTAGCTTTGCAAGTCAACTGCCATTGCAAAGGAGCTTAACTTCTCTGATTTCTGGGTTGCCAATATGCAGATTGGCCCTCTCCTCTGTGCATTCATATCAGGACAATAAAGAAGGGCAAGGATTCAAACGTACAAAACAAATTTCAAAAGCCTGGATTCTAATACGAAGAGCAGTTCCAAAGGGGGAGGATTGTGCTGCACACCTGCAACGTTCAGTGGTACATCTCAGTTTGATGAGATGTGTCCCTGGAAATCAGTGCTTAATTGACTCCTCCAACTGCAGAGGCAACACACTGCTACACTAACTTCTTGGGACTATTTAGAAATGCACAGCCTCTGTTATCTGGTAACTTGAAAGGCCTGATGGCTACAGGGAAATTGGCAAACCTTCAGCTGCTACAATGGTGACATGATCAGTTATTAAAAGGTGGTGTTCCTACATTTTAGAAGAGTGGTTGCCTTTGGCAAAACAGCTAGAGGTTTGCATATAGAGAGTTCCTCAAAAGCTGTTTTTTTTCAAAGCAATTTGGAAAGTTACCCTCCAAAAGGAAGAGACCTAAAGTAATGGGCAAGTGTCTTTTTGCTTCCAAGTTTTGATCTTTAGATTACTGCAGACAGAACTCTGACTACTGTGATTAGCATGGCTAGCTAGATCTCCTATGGACTGGATGGCATGGCTTCAGCTAAGCTTTTAAGCAAATGAAATGAAGGAGCTCTTGATTTCACTCCTTCTCTCTGCTAACCCAGAAGGTGTGCATTGCTCAGTCCCCACATAGATGTTTTCAACAGAGCAAAGGCCGCTACAGCTGATGTGACTGCAGCATGCTGTCACAAGGTTGCACAGTTTGATAGAAAATTATTTCTAGCAGCATCTGCCCAGTTACCTGTAACTGCTGCCACTGACCCTATTCTGTTGACTTCAGCGGACCACCATCACACTGGAATTGCAGTTTGGCTTCTGAACACATCATGGTGCACAGGCAGGAGCAGTAGGGACAGTGACAGAGGGCTGTCTAGTAGTTGTGTAATAACAGTGTTTTTACCTTGGCTGAAATAATGAACAGCTGCTGCAACATGACTGGCAGCCTTTATGTTGATAACAATATAATACAATTCTCAGAGAGCAAATGTGCATCCAGGATTTGGAGGTAGTCCTAAGCCAGCTTCTTATCAAAGGTTTCTAAATGGCACCTTTGTGATGACCAAGTTCTGACCATGGATGTTGCTGTGCAGATTTTCCTTGTATATGCTTACATGGTTCTGCACCTGGGGTCCTAGGCTTCCTTAGGAAAATACCTGGGGAACTGATATATCCACACAACAGTTATTACTCAGTACATGCCTAAGTAAACATGCTGAAGGTGAAAGTATTCCTGTCTCCTTCAAGGATTTCAACAAATTGTCAGCTAAGGTTTCCCTGTGTACAGCTAAACTTTTAGAGTGAACATACCTTCAGAGTAAAAATGGACTTGTGTGTGCATGTGTATGTGTGTGTGTACGTGCACTAAAAGTATTCACCAGGAGAGGTAGCACAGTGGTATCACATGCTAGCTGACTGCATGGTAACTTCCCCAAGGAGATACGACCTCATAACATCCAGAAGAGCATCAGTTTGTCTTAGTGCATCTTAGGGTGCATTACAGAGCAGCAGACATGTGATTTGTGGTGCCAGACCTTCTGTAATTTAGACCTTACCTCCTGTCATGCTAGCTAAACATCTTGTGCTTTTAGAAAAGAAGTCCTTGTCTGTAGTTTATTGATTTACTTGTAGCCTCTCAATGCTCATTTGATACTAGATACAATTGCAGAAACAAAGCTGACCTAAACTGGACTGAGAAATCTGATAGCATGGAAAATGTCAGCAAAAAGCTATTAAGTAAAAACTTTTCAAATGCCATGCATTAAAAAAAACAAACAAACAAACAAAACAAACAAGCCCTAAAAAAACCCTATTTATGAGTTAATCAAACTACAGGAAGTTCATCTAACTCTCCTGAGGTCTTCAAATGTGTCTTGATTATGCAGTAAAAAATTTCATGGTGGAAAGATACTAACAGAAAGGAGACTTGCACAAGTACTTTGAAAAGACAAGACAACCCCTCCAACACATCTTTATGTATTTGGCTCTGTGGGGCTTCCTTGGGCCAAACACTGCTACTGAGATAACCTGGCTAAGGAAATCTATTGCTTGTTTTAGCAACACAACTATGTGTACTGAGACATCAGAAAACGGAGAAGCTCACATAATATGATTTTTTTTTGCTGTTGTGCAACAGTTCTACAAACCCTGTTTTTTACTCTAAATATATGCTCTCAAGTTTGTAAGCTACAGCCATCAGCTGGCTTTACAAGACCTTAAGGATGAACCTTGCATAGCTCTTGCAGTTATTCTACTACTAGAGACTGTTAAACATCAAAGTTTATCTACTACTGCTTATTGCAATGCTGTGTACTGCTACCACAAGTCCATGTGTAAGCCTTTTAATATCTCACCTGTGCTGCAATTCTTGGTGTCACAGTGTTTTCCAGTAGGCATTAGTGGACGTTATGCATACAAACACTAGCCACATGGCAAAAAAAAAAAAAAAAAAAAAAAAAGGAAAAAAAAGGCAGTTTTCAGATATTAAATCACAGGGGAATAAAAAGGACTTTCATGGAAATGCTTCTGTTACCAGTGTCACCGCCAAGCCACTGGGACGGTGCGCTCACACCTGCCTGGCCGCAGCCTCAGAGAAACGGCCCTGCCTGCCGTGTTCCACAAAGCCGCGCAGTTGCAGGGGCAGCAGCTCTCCCAGGGAGAAGGAGGGGGCTCGGGATGTCGGAGGGACCGAGGGCCAGGGACAGCCAGGGCAGCACGGGAGCTGCCTCGCCAGCCTTCCCCGAGCAGGAGGTATTACCGGGAGCATGAGGACGGGGCTGGGGCTGCCAGCATCCGCCATTCAAGTCTCTTTACCTCCAGACTTTGTTTTTCCTTCGCTCTGCCAGCTGCCCGCTTTAAGTTCCCCCGGGTTAAATTCCAGCAGGCTTAGCGTGCTGCCGCCATCTCCGGTCCGACAGCGCTCAGAATAAATACTTAGACAAACATTGCCCAAAGTAGCGGCTCCGGCGGTGCGGAATGGTCCCGGGGCGACCCCGCATCGCCCGCCAGAACCCCCCGCCCGCTCCCCGCGGTGCTGCGGGTACAACCCGGGCAGACCCCGCCCCGGGCCCGGCGGGAGGTGCGGACCGGACCGGCCGCCAATGGGCGCGGCGGGGCGGGCACGGCCGCGGCGGGGATAAGAGGGGCCGCAGAGAGGGAGCGTTGTCGGATCGGGTCGTCTGTCGGTAAAGAGGTGGGCACTGTGGAGCGAGGCGAGAGGGGGCTGCGAGGCGGGGGAAGGGGGGCTGCGAGGCGGGGGAAGGGGGGCTGCGAGGTGGGGGGGGGACTGGCCTCGGCTGTGTCCTTGTCCCTGTCCCTGTCCTTGTCCCGCAGTGGGGGCCTTGTCCTGCCGGGAAGGGGCCGCCATTCCAGCCGCCTCCTCGGGAGGCTGCTGGCTACCCGCCCGCATCCCGGCCGCACCACCCGAGCTTGTTTACAGCCGCGGCGAGGGTGGCCGGCGCGGTGCGCGGGTGCTCGGCCCTGCCGATCGTGTGGCGGGGGCGCGGAGGGCGCGCAGTGCGGCCGCGGGTCCGGCTCCCCTTCCGTGCTTGGAGCTGTGGAGCTCAGGGAGCCCTGGCTGACCCCTCTTCCTCCGTCCCCGGCAGATCTGCCAGCATGAACCCGTTCCTAACTGCGCTCAGCCTCTGCTTGGGCCTGGCTCTCGGTGCGCCGAGGCTGGACCCCGATCTGGATGGGCACTGGCAGCTGTGGAAGTCGTGGCACAACAAGGACTACCATGAGGTGAGCCCCGGGGTTTGTGCTCGGCTGGGCCAGCACCGAGCGCACGCAGCTGGGCCCCGCCAGCTGAGTCATGTCTGCTTTGTTGCGACGCCGGCTGTGGGCTGCGCGTGGTAAGGATAAGTCCCCCTCTTTCCAGCTCCCTTTCCTGTGCTTGTGCGTCGACTCAGCTGCACTATACTCCTTTTTGTTACGAACGCGGAAAAAGACCACCTCTTAAACAGTGTTCAGACTTCCCATTCGAGTAGTCTAAATTTGCCCGAGTATGGGAGCCTTAACAAAGCTCGTTGTCATGAAAGTGAACTTTGGACTGTCTCTCTGAAGTATGCTGGTTTTTTCCCCTCAGAGAGAGGAGAGCTGGAGGAGAGTGGTGTGGGAGAAGAACTTGAAAATGATTGAACTCCATAATCTGGATCACACATTAGGAAAACACAGCTACAGGTTGGGAATGAATCAGTTTGGTGACATGGTATGTATAGAGGCATGAAATGTATTGTCCTAGATGGTAGTGTTTAATAGATAATGAATGCATATATTGAATTGTTTTTCAGACAACTGAGGAGTTCAGACAGCTGGTGAATGGTTATGTACACAAGAAGTCAGAAAGAAGGTACAGAGGATCCCAGTTTCTTGAGCCCAGTTTCCTGGAAGTACCACGATCAGTAGACTGGCGAGAGAAGGGATATGTAACTCCAGTTAAAGACCAGGTACTATCTGTTGGTGGATTTCTAACCAGTTACTGGTCGAGTTTCCTGAATGCTACATCCACTTCCATAGAGGAAAAAATACTGTGTACCTGTTTAATGAAGCCTAGTACAAGCTTACTGGATTAAGTACCATTTTGTTAAAACTGATGTACCTCTTTAAGACTTTTTAGGACTTCTGTACTAAATATCTCAGAATTCAGCAGCATCTTCATTTGTATGTGTTAAGAGTGTGCAAGCAAAATTGGTCTTGTGACTTTTGTCTTTCTTGCTTAGATAAGTGGTAAGGGAAATATAATTGCCTAGTTTGTCTGGATTCACAACTTGTGATTTCATTTTATACCTCAGGGTCAGTGTGGCTCTTGCTGGGCTTTCAGCACAACAGGAGCTCTTGAAGGGCAGCACTTCAGAAAAACTGGCAAACTTGTTTCACTGAGTGAGCAGAATCTGGTGGACTGTTCTCGCCCTGAAGGGAATCAAGGCTGCAATGGTGGTCTCATGGACCAGGCTTTCCAGTATGTGCAGGATAATGGGGGCATTGATTCTGAGGAATCCTACCCATACACTGCAAAGGTAAGTGTAGTAGCTAAACTTGTATTGCCGGTGTCATGTTTTTTGTGTGGAGAAGCTGTGTATTGGAAAACTCATACCTAGAAAGGAAAATGTCTTTACAGTGATCAGTAAATCTGTGCTTTCTGTTGCATCTTTGCTAAGATAACTTAGCACAACTACTAGCCCCAGTAGGAATCACATACTGTGCTGGTCTTTGTGGTCAAAGTCTAGCCAGACCAGTTAGAAAAACTGGAGCAAATATTTTTATTCCTCCCCCTCATTGTTGCCTATCAGACATCATGCCTTATCTTGGTTGCCACACCAAACCAGGAACCCAGCCCTTGTCAATCATGCTACTTACTGGTAGGGAAGCAATTTTTTTTCCCATAGTTGACCTGTTACAGAGTTGATACCTATACACCACCTAATTCTTGTTGCTAGTGTCATTTTTTTGTAACAGTTGTTGGCAATGCCTTAAGTTCTACTTCTGGACTAAATGCACATAAATTAAGGTAATGGACAGACTTTTAAAATACCTCTAGTGATCCATCAAATGTTAAACAGATATAAGAGGACAAGAGAGCATAATAAATCGTGGTATCACCTGAGAGGACATGGTTTGAGGTTTTTGCCACTTAGGAGTTCTGCTCACAATAGCGGATCTATTCTTGCAGCTTCTTTTGTGCTGTCTGAATGGGCAATAGGGATGCCATTTGTTGTGAACAACACAGAAGCCTTTGGATTTGGGTTCCTGTTCACCTGTGTCCTGAAATCTCAACTTTTCCTAATCTTGGCTGTTCTAGAGGTCCCAGTTCATTATAGAAAATTCCTAACTTGTCAAGTACAAAAAGTAAGCAATTGAGCTGTACTCTGCTCCTTTAGTTGGAAAAACAATTTTAGTACTCATCTACAGTGCAGGTAAGGGAAGGATGTTCTTGCTTGAATCAGTTTCACATGACCTGACTTCCAAACTAGGCCTTGCCTCTCTCCTGAGGTAAATGCGTGTGGCACCAACAGTTTTGGCTTACTGTAAAAAAAAAAAAAAAAGTAATGTGAAGAAGCACAAAATACACAAATGTATTTTTGCAATGTAAGGTCATGTAATACAAATTACTAACATTTGAATCATTCTGTACGTAATTTCAAACTATCACAGTCTAAAATTGTGGATTTTAGTGCTTGCTCAACAAGCAGTTTCGGGATTGCTTTGTGATTAATGAATACTTGGCTCTCTTCCGTTGGCCATTAGTGCATTCTGGACTTCTTTCCTCCCTGGAAGGATATGTCCTGCCCACCAAAGAGGACAGAGTTCCAGAATATTATGGTTTTCTGCATCCCAGTAAAGGTTCTTTTTTTTTTTTAGGGGGGGGCTCCACTGTCCTTTATTTTTCTGTACTTCTGAGAAACTCAGAAGCAGCTTCTGTATTCCCCTTCTGTTCTCCTTTCAAAGCACTGCTAAAGCAACTGGAGCCTTTTCACTCCCTTGTTTTCAAGGCAGGAAAGTCTCAGAATGTCTGGTAGTTCTGTGCTCACCTGTGTGTTAAGTGGAGAACTGTGTAATAACTACAGCTTTTTATATTTAGGATGATGAAGACTGTCGCTACAAGGCAGAATACAATGCTGCTAATGACACTGGCTTTGTTGACATCCCTCAAGGACACGAAAGAGCTCTCATGAAAGCAGTTGCAGCTGTGGGTCCAGTGTCTGTTGCTATTGATGCAGGCCATACTTCGTTCCAGTTCTATCAGTCAGGTGAGGATTTAATAACTTCAGTTTCTCTTACATAAGTGTGTACTTGTCCCTCAGTTTCTGCCATGATACACTTATGACTCCTTCCTCTAACTTTCAAGAGGCTGTGAACATTTAATTTGAAATATACAAAGCTTCTGGTGAGAGAGAAGGGTTTTCTGCTGATGAGCTTGTTCACATGTGACCTTACACCTTCACAGGTATCTACTATGAACCAGATTGCAGCAGTGAAGACTTGGACCATGGTGTTCTGGTTGTAGGTTATGGCTTTGAGGGGGAAGATGTAGATGGGAAGAAATACTGGATTGTTAAGAACAGGTGAGATCTGTCTGTCATGTACCCAGGAGAGAAGGGGAAGGTAGTTTGTCACTTGTAAGGGGGGGGAGGTAGGGAGACTACAGTAGTTAAAAACCTATGTGTGGAAAATCTGGAGACTGTTTTCAGATTGTATTCTGTAACAAAGGTTAAATCCAACTCACACTGATGGCAGCCTAATAAAGTAAGCCCAAAGCAGCTTTTTCAGTTAATTTAAGGAGGGTCAGTACTGAAACAACTTGTGCAGCTTGTAGATATTAAAGAAGGGGGGCAGAGGGGAGCAGGAGGAAACCATATTGTGGGGGTGTAATGGATTTTTTTTTTTTTTTTGAAAGCAGAGTGCTTTTCACTTTTCTGAAATAGGATAACACCTGAACTTAATTAGCTCCTAAGCTGGGGGAAAACAATAAAGTAATGCCAAAGGGCACATCACATGAGCTTGTCTCATTTTCTCAACATTACTGGGGCACACCCTCAAATGCTGCTTGCAATCTCTGACTTCCCTTTAAGTTGGCTGGGAGCAGTCTGAGCTTCAGGCATCTGTAATCAAAATTTGCACCTCAGTGTGACTACCTAGTGAGAGAATGGCTGTGTCCTTAATTTCTGTGAGCTTGGGGTGCCTCTTCTGTAACATGCATTTAATTGCTGGAAAACACTTTAGGTTTTGGCTGCAGCTATCTTGATTTTTCTCCATAAATGTGGAAGGCAGCAGTTTTCAGTTTAAACATTGGGGCAGTAAATAAGTATCTTCTGAATATATAAACAAACCCTTTGCTTTTGTTTTCAGCTGGGGTGAGAAGTGGGGTGACAAAGGATATATCTACATGGCCAAGGACAGGAAGAACCACTGTGGAATAGCAACAGCTGCTAGCTATCCACTTGTATAATTTGAAGACTGAACATTTCAGTACAAGAGGGGATTTAAACTGAATGACCAAACCCATGTTCACACATGTGGTAGACT